ATTAAAGCCAGTGTTTGCAGAATCTTGATAAGATTGTTTGGTAGACAGTACATACTGTATCTTTTAGAGGTCTTGAGCATCACACTTTCTTTTGAAATGTATTTCATGGATGGTTCCTCGTTCATTAATTAAAGTATTTTTCAATTTGAATAAAACTGTTCTTTAAACCAGTTCTTTAAGATCAGAATCTAGCTCTGCTCTGGATGTGACTGCTATCACCAGCGTTGATGTCCTGAGTTAGTGTTGTGATCTGTGCTGCGCAATTTCTTCTTCTTTTTAAAATTTTTTTTTAGATATGTTCAATCAAAAACTAGGACCGCTGTTTTGTCTTGGTTTAGTTTAAGTACAATTGAAGTTATGTGTAAACGAATGCTTAAGAGTTCCAGTAGGCACAGATGTACCTTGTTCATTTTAATGAACTGTATAGAATTTCTGAATGTAGCATTTCACCTCAGTGCCACTAGATGGAGTTGTTGCTCCAGATAAAATGAATGGTAATATCAGTCATGCTGGCCATGGGCTTAGAATTTTTTTTTTCAAATTGGTGTCCTCATTTGTCATTTTGTAACTATTCATATATTGAAAGTATATTGAACTTTAAAGGTACCCCACCATTTTTGGATCTTGCATCCTTGATGTTAAATCAGTTCTATTGCTTTGGAATGAGGTATGTAGCCTTCTTTATGCCCTTGAAGTTGTCTTGTCATCCCTACACTGTAGGCTCGTTGGTGAGTTCACTTTCCAGGAGTCACTGTCTGCTCAGACACGCATGTACAATATCTGCTGATATTTATTTTGTGTCCAACACCCTGTATCATTTGATTTTAGTCTCTTAGTTGTGCTTAGGTTTCTTACATTATGCTCCTGCTACCTGCTTTACCTAATAGGTACAGTCACATTCTTTAAACGTTTTTTGGAAATTCTGTAATAGCATATCTACAGTATGCACCAAAACAGGTTACTCCCCTAAGTATCAGTAAAATGTTTACTTTAAAGACTACAGATTTTTAAAAAAAAATGTTTATTTAATGTATGTATGTAACAAACAGGTCAAATACACTTCAAGGACCCCAGAGTACATTCTAAATGGATATATTCTGCAAAACGTTCAGAAGAAATGTATTTTTTCTTATTCTAAATATTTACCTCTTTATTCATGCCTTTTCCCCAATTAATGTCACCAGGAACTTCTACTGAGGGGGAATGTGTTTCAATGATGTCAGTCAACAACTAAAAAAATAAGTGCTTTCTGGAGTGTTATTAGACAACATTCCATAATCTCTGGGTCCATCAGGTACTCCAGACCTATATATTTCATACCACAGTAGTAGTCCTCCTCACTGTAATGTTGTTTAACTTGGATAATGTTGTTTTTAAGCCATTTCCAAAGTTATAACAAAACTAAACAATTAAGTGCTTAAACGGAATACTCCACTAGTTGCATATGTAAGGAAGATTCTAAGCCAGACTAACGTCCATTGTTAAAGGGCGTATAGTACTAATAGTATATATACATAAAATGTTGTATACTCTATGGACACCAAGTCTATTCCCACTTTAAGAGCAACTTGTATATTGGCGGCCCCAGTAAATGAATTCAATTCATTTCAGTTTAATTGTAAAGCACCTATTTACATTCGCATTTCACATTCATGTAAGTTATCTCAGTGCACTTCACATATTAGTAGAGAGAAAACAGACAAACAAAGCACACCAGAACAATAGCACACTGAGAAGGTCAGCAAGCCTTGAAACTGCTGACCAGCATCAGAGAAGGATGAGGAAAAATAATGGCTATCAGCTAGAAATTAATTTTTGGTGTGAGGAGAAGCACAAGAAAACTGAGCATGTGTCTGGTGAGTGACAGTGTTTAATAACGGGCTAGTGTTGTGTTCACATCACACTGCAATACTGTATGCTATCACTTATCAGGATTTAACAGAACGAGTACCGGCTGTCACAATTAGAGGAACTCATGCGCAAGGCTCAGTATGCAACAGTCATATCTTGTGTGGAAAACACTTTGTTGTATGGTACAGAGAAAGAGAGAGCTGACTAATTTAAAAGTTTGCACACATAAAAGAAGACTGCATTGTGCATAGTTCCCGTTTTTGTTGAACTGAATTTCTCTTTTGTCACAGATGCAGCAGTCTGTAGTCTCAACTGTTCACCTGCACAAAACGCACCCAGCAACAAAGCAGCTCTGCCCCTTTTCCTTTTAGGAAATGTGTGGACATCCTCACAGGCTGGAGTTTGCAACATACACAGAGTAATTCACCATGATGAAAAATCATAAAATACAAAGTAGAAATGGCAAAAACCACCCACTAAATCCCAACTGCTTAGATTCACTGCCTACTACGATTGCACAGTATGCTGAGGCAGAAATGACTCCTTTATACAACGTAATATGTTGCATTATGAAACAAAAAGCATATAGAGTACTGCTCCAAATGTCTTCTTTTTCTTCAGAATTTTTGCTCCTATGTCTTTCCTGGCCTGGCTTCAATAAGCACAGATGGCCATGTGTATAGAAGTATGAGTGATTTTGTGCATGCACGTGTGCGTGCATGTTTTGGATAACTCGTATTAACGCTAATGTGCAAATAATTGACCACCTGTCCCTTGCCCATTACCATAGTACTGTTGGTTCTCACTATATTTGCAGTGCGACTGTTCAGCATACTAGTGCACATTTTGTAATTTAATTTTAAAAAGTAAAATTTCATATTTTATATTTATTGCATGTACAATGAAATATCTCAAGCCTTTTTAAATTTTAACTTGGATGGTCATGGCATATAGCTAATGAAAATCTGACATCAAGTGTCTCAAATAATTAGAACATTTCCTCAGAAAAATTAAACAAAGGGTTAACAATACAGGAAAAAAAATCACTATCAATACATGGGGTTCTATGGGGTTTAGGTCAGATGATTGGCTGGCCAATCAAGCACAGTTACATCATAATCAGTAAACATTTGATTTTAGCTGTGGCACTGTGGTCAGGTGTTAAGTCCTGCTGGAAAAGAAATCGGCATCTCCATAAAACTTGTCAGCAGATGGAAGTATGAAATGCTCTTAAATGTGCAAGAAGATGCTGCATTGGCTTTGGACTTGACAAAAGACAGTGGACCAATGTCAGCAGATAACATACCACAAATCATCACAGACTGAGGAAACTTCACACTGGACTTTAGACATCTTGGATTCTGTGCCTCTCCACTCGTCCTCCAGACTCTAAGCAAAACTTTCTTTCATCTGAAAAGATGACTTTGGACCACTGAGCAACAGTCCAGTTCTTTTTCCTCTTAGCTCACATAAGACTTTCTGACATTGTCTCTTGTTCAGGAGTGACTTAATATTAGAAATGTGACAGCTGTCGTTAATTTCCAGAAGCTGTCAGTGCTTGGTTGTCTTCCGGACAACTTTCAAGTCAGCAGTGTTTCCTGTACTTGTAGTTGCTTGTATTGAAGTAGACTCAAAGTAAATACGCACACACACACATTTTTTTTTCTTTAGCAGGAGGCCATAATGATCAAAATTACAATTAGAAAATGCTTGAAACATTTTACATTTCGTGTAATGTGTGTAGAATATAATACATATTCACTTTTCACTTTCATCAAAACTTTCAGGGGTAAATTTTAAACCCAAAGAAATCTAACTTGAAACCAAGATTTATCGTCAAACGTGTGCAATTAACTTGTTAAAGTCTGAAACAACTGACATATGTGAGGATTTAAAGAGAGCTTGAAACTTAATTTCTCATCATATCTGGTTCGTTCCATTAATACAAGTGGTACCATTGCACTTGGTAAGACGTGTGGACACTGCCATTTTTATTGTCGTACTATAGTGTGTCTTTTTTTTTTTTTTTTTTTTAGAAAGGTATGTACCGACAGATATGGGGAAAAAAAGGAAATGAGGTTCAAACATAGAAGAAAAAATATAATGCTTCTCGACTGTGCTTCATTGTATTTTGATTGACTACATCAGTGATTGGTAAATAGTTGCAAATGGAACTAAGCCAGCCCTCCAACAATAACAGTACTTGGCCATATTATGCAGATATCTTTGTGGAGTGGTTACATTTTTAGTAGTGTATTAAAAATATCTTTTATGAAGAGTAGCCACACTTTTAAGCCTTTGCTTGAGAAAAATACCATGGACAAGTCAGTCTGGCTGTAATTTGTTGCCAGTGCAGCATTCCAACAGCCAAATATCTGGTATCCCAAAAAGCATTACACAGACTGCCATTATGAAAGAGGCCTCAGAAACAGTTAACAAAGTGTGTCCAATTTCAGATATGATCAGTTATTACTTTTTATATTATTAATGCTTTAGCAGCTGAGACTGAAAGTGGTGTGAATTATCAAGGTCCAAGAGGTAAGGGAAAAAAAAAAAAAAGCTGTAAACACAACAACATATTATTGATTGTCTGTTTTCATACCCAGCAAGCACAGTAGAACGTTATCAGCCATGTGGTGTCATGTTTATGTCCACCTGATCAATATGAGTCTTACACTGACACTCATTTCAGTTCTTGAGGGGGCTGGAAACTCAAAGAAATGAGCTGAAAGGTGACAATGCTCTTTGGCCTGAGAGGAACTGCAGAGATGGTGATAATTGGCTGTGTGTTTTGTCACTATGAGTGACTGCTTCAAAAATATACATTATAATTTTGCCCATTGTTAATATAAACACATTGATTCGCGCAACTTTTGTATTTGGGCCTAATAAATAGCCAGAGCTTAGAAAAACATTAACAGTAATCCAATGCAAAAAATGGTGCATCAACTTTTCATGACAGAGTGCAGATGTGGTCATTAACTTCCAACAGGCTGCAGGTGGACTCAGGTAGAGTGATGTGAGAACAACCATTTTTCATTCTAAATGTTGTTTCCTTTTTTTTTTTTTCTTTCTTCGTCTTGCCATCACTCCTTTTTTCTTTTGTTTCTTCAACGCCCCTATTTCATCACCTCTTTTGTCTTTTGCAGGTCGATTTATGATGACCAGCCCAATGCCCACAAGCGCTTTATGGAGAAGTTGGATGCCAGGATAAGAAACCATGACAGGGAGATTGAAAAGATGTGCAATTTCCATCACCAAGGCTTCGTGGATGCCATCACAGAGCTCCTCAAAGTTCGTGCTGATGCAGAGAAACTAATGGTAAGAGACATTACTGTATAGAGGATTTTAAGGTGAAAGAAGTGACAGCAGGACAGTTCTCGAAAATTAGTGTCAGCTGCAGTCCTTTTTCTTGTTGCAGATGTTTACCTTGCCTGTTAGTGTCAGTGTTTGGTTTGAAATGGATATTTATCAAAATCTTGTAGTCACAATCTAGCACGTGGAACATAACACAGTAAGCATCTCATCTGACTCATCTGCCTGTGAAGGTTCATGGTCCAATGGTCATTTTGACTGATCCCACTTTAAATTCTTGAAGAATTTTCACCTTTCATCCAAATTCAGCAGAAGCTTTTTGAGAGAGAAGTGAACATTTACATAAATTCCAATTGCCTTTGAGTGACGTCTTGTAGATACAGCTAGCCAGGGTCTTTCTCTGTGATGTAACAAGGTAACTAATGATCAGAGGCACTGTCCCATAATAGAAAGGTGCTAGGTTCTACTGCCTGTTGGCTGACCAGTGTAGTATTATGTTGTTTTAGATAACAGCCTTGGTTCAGTTTTGTCATCTATCTCTGCTGTCAAGCACTCTTGTTTTGGTGATGTGCCCTTGCTGACTAAATAAAAGAAACAATGATTATGTAGTTGATCACCCTTGTTCACTGTTGCTTCACTGTTGAGAGGATTGTCATCAAAAAGCTGACTGGTCAATTGGGTCATGGCTCTCAACCGTGTGACAAGAGCAGAGAGTTCAAAAATCCCCATCCAGAATCGAGAAGTTTGTCACTGAATCTGTGAGAAAGAGCCTGTCACAAGCCATTAAACCCCATGAAAGGCCCATTGCACTGACGATGGGTTCAGGTCCCCGCTGCCTGGTTAATCTGAATTTGCCTGCCTTTGTCCTTGCCCCTTCATGGACAATGAGCTGATTACAAGGCTGAGCAGCTGCAGTGAGGGAGGTAGAGAGGGAAAAGAGAGGGCATGAAGAGGGGGAGCAGACGGAAAGAGGAAGGTCAGACTGACATGGATGGCACGTATGCCAGAACCAAGACCAAGCTATTTATACATTATAAAACGGCTTTAAGCAATTAAAATTTTAAAAAGATGTAGAAATACAAATGTTCACTTAGTTATAGAATAAAACCCAAATTTAGGCCTTTTGCCTCTTAAAGCAGAAGTGCCTGCTCTGCATTGTTACAGAATTTTTAAAATTCCAATTAAGACTGAACATTTTCACAGACTCCACCTGAAATGACACATTGAAATTATAGACTGGCAAGATATCTCCCTAAATGTGAACATTTAAACTGGTTGGTTTCCTTTTTAGTTTTCAATATGTGAAATCTTTTGCCAACAAATCTCATGAAAGCAACCCACCAAGAGTCTGCAAGACTGTCTCTCAATACACTGTCCATGGCTTTTAGCTCTAGACCCGCTAGTTTCTGAAGATGTATATCTTTTTTTCTTTATTTTTTTAAAGTCTCCCAAATTTCCTACAACATCAGGTCACTGTAGTATTATTGAATCTTTCTGTAACAGGAAGCTCCATTGCACATGCTGGGACCTGTTTTCAGCAGTGGATTTTTTCACATTTAGTGTTCTATATGTTTGGGACTGATTCTAAATAAACTACAGAAAAAGCCACGGCACTCAGTGTAACAGTGTAGCACGCTGATGTTTTTTTTTTTTAATATAGTAGTTTTAATAACAGCGGAAATCTATTACACATAGACATAAAGAAGAAAATCAGTGAATGTCACCACACTGATTATTTAATGTCTAGAGAGGAGTGGATCATGTGGACTTTTGAAATGGAGGTTTTGTTGGCATTATGAAAAGAAAAGAGGAATAAAAGGAGAGATTTTAGAGATATACAAATAACCTGATGTCTGTGTTTGTTTTCAAAGGGTCAAGTGACAGACACTAATCGAAGACTACAAGAAGCTGGGAGGGAGGTAATCCATGCATGCTTGTATTCTAGAATGTGCAGAAGACGAAACAGTGCTTTTTGTTCTCCTGTCAGAACATATGCATGCCCATTAACTGCAAAGACAGTTCTGTATTAGACATGACCGTTCTTTAACCCAGTAGTCAACAGTGGTGGCCTCTTTTTCATTGTCTTCTTCCATTGTGTGTTCCCTCCCCCAGGTGACAGCTCAGACAGAGGAGGTGATTCGCTGTCGCATCCAGCAGAGGAACATGGCGACCACTGTGGAGAAGCTCCAGCTCTGTATACCAGGTACCACTTCTGCCTTTGTGTTCCTTACACATACACTCATAACCTGATCTGTTCTACACCTTGGAGGAAAAAATGGAGTTGCTAAGTGAGAACTTTTCCAAACCAGGAGAATAGAACCAAAAGTCAGTCACACCGATAATTTGTTAGGAAACACTGTTTATGCATGCTCTTGCAGATAGTACTTTAAAAGTTCAAAGGTTCATATGAGGCCTATAAAGGCTGTTATAAGAATGGAACTGGTTTATCACTTACTGTAAAGTTGCCATATGCTGAAGCAATGACTGTGTCACAGATTGGAGGTTTGCAACTTCGCACAAGCGCACTGGTAACCTTGTTTGAACTCTTTGAGACTTGGGTCAGATTCTTCTGTACACAGAAAGTTTGCCTTTAAGGAGCAAAATTGAGCAAAATGACTAATCCTGTTTCCTATCATCTGTTCCTTTGCAGTACTAGAAATGTACAGTAAACTAAAGGAGCAACTGGAATCCAAAAGGTAATGGTTTCACAAAATACTTATCAACATCACAGTGTGACTAACTTGTGTTTCAAAACAACTTTCATGGAGATCTCTAAGATTTCCCAATTTCCTGAACAACTCCAGTCTCATAATTTCTCTCACTCTGCCAAGTAGTGATGAAAACATGCTCTACTTCACACTTGCAGTAATGTACTGCAGCACTTTAGTACCACAGGACACCAAGGCTCAGTATGGTCAGGTTTAGGCTGATATATTTGTGACAGGGAAAGCCAGACGAGTGTCAGAGATTCAACAGATCTTAACTCTTAGAGGCAATTGTAACTGTGTTTCCCCTTTCCAAAACCTAGCTTGGACTCACTTTTTAAAGAGGCTTGCTCCAAAGTTTGTCTACTCTTTACGCTGTAAGATGAAATATTGCTGTTTGGTATGATAACAGATGCAACAGAGCACATCTCTGACTATACCCAACCACATCCATTCAAGATGCTGGTTGTGGTCATTGCTGCTACAGAGTTTAAACCCTAAACCAGAGGGCGGGTACGACTTGCTACCTGGTATTAATTAATTTTAAAATTAATGTCAGTGTACTAAAACAACAAGTAAAACTGTGTATATTTTTGTGTACTGTTATGTATGTTTTTTGTTGTCCATTCTAAAGGTTTAAGTGGCAACTTTGCAACACAAAAAAAGCACAAAAGTCAAACATCAGTCATCCAGTATTTATGATTTCCTACTGACTTTTCAACTGATGCTCTGCCATGCAAATTTGATTGAACTTCATTTCCACCCCATGAACTTCATGTTTGGCCGTATTTACATGGCTGTCTGTATAAAGAGGGGAGGAAAGGGGGCTTCATTTTGGACAGGAAAATAATGACCCTTTCTTGTTCAGTTCTGTGTACCAAGGGAAGCGACCATTCACTGAAAAGACAATTGACCCTCAGTGTGCCCTTGTTCACAACAAGGCTCCCTCACTGCCGCTCTGTCACGGCCCACAGCCAATCCAAGGCAATTAGACCATGCTGGCCACCTGGTGGGATCTGTGTGTGTGGAGTGTACTTAAAACACTAATGACATGGCCTGTACACTGTTACTATGTTTTGGAATTAGTTTGTATGGTGCAAAAAAGTGCTGATGGTCAGGTCACATTATGTTCAATGCCCTGTCATTTTTAGCCTTTGTGTCCTCCATCCTCACGCTTCGCAGTCTGACAAACCTTTTCACTGTACAGTTTATGAGAGTGTCTTCTGTTCATTTGTATACAACACATTTTACACTCACTGACCGACCAATTAGATCTGTTCACAGCCTGCCTATCAGCCTAATGATGGGAGCACAGCATACTGACCCAACGCTGAACCCTAGTAATTTGAACACAGAATGAAAGACCACAAAATCTCGATAACACTGGTTGCAGAATTTGCATTTGGAAATAAAATACCTCACTGCATGCAGTGTATGTGGACGTAGGCGTATGTCTTAAATTCCACTGCAAATCATTAAAAGTAGACAGGACTAACCCACCATACTTTAATACACTGGTCACAACTTTATTACCTTAGTCTTAAGTCCAATACATGCTCTCCTGTCCTCTGGAACTATTTTTTGTTATCTCAGACACTATCAAGTATTGAATTTACACATGTTTTATGATTATAGAGACATTTTTTTCCCCACTGTTATTGTGCTTTCTGTTATTAACATACCCTGATTCATATGTATCAGGTAGCAAACATACTTTGAACCAAAACGAGAGAATAGAGTATATGTTTCCTATAAGGTGTATAATGTGATGGTAATCAATACAGTTTTTATCAAATGCAGCAAATATCTCCACTCCTTCCACAAGCTGTCTTTTGTGTGTATGTGCTGATAAATAATGTGTTTGTACACAGCCCTAGCTCTGTAAATACAGAACAAAAACAGAAGCAAAAAAAGTGACGCTGACTGATCTACAGAACACGATTCCAGCATATCCTGTTCATGCTACCATTTGTTTTACCAAAGTGAATCCATGAATTCAATACCTGGTCAAACCTTATTTGGGATCAACAAACTCAAACTAGCTACAGACTTGCACAATGTTCAGGACCAGGTTTGAACCATTCTTCTCACAGAAGAGCTTCATCTCAGGTAGAGGATGTCTGTTGTGAATGGCTCTCTTGAGGTTATTCCATAGCATCTGTGTTAGGTTAAGGTCTGGGCTATGACAGGACCATGCAAACGAAGGATTTTCTCTGAAGTCATTCTGTAAGTTGATGTTTACGGTCATTGTCCTGCTGTATCAGTCAGCTTTTACAAAGCTTCTGCTGTACATCCACCTCGACATTATCTTGCGTGATAGCTTGAGTATTTATGTCATCTTAATATTGGTGAGCTGTCCACACCCAGAAGCAGCAAAATGATTCCAAACCACGGTGCTGTTGTTATGCAGTGCCTTTGTTTTTTCTTCCTAAACAATTCAACCTTACCTTTCAGCAATTTCAAAACATTTCCCACTATTGTTGTAGATTGCTGGGGTACCCTTTAGCTTCATGTAACCATGCACCAGGATGAATGATTACAGCAAGCATCCCTTTGGTATTATATGGGCATCTGACTATAGACCTGCTTCAAAAACTGTGAGCTTGGTCTTTCACGGTTCTATCAAAGAACCATAGCTGGGATGGCATTCTAACTGAAGTTATGTTCTTTATCACCACAGATACTATGCTGCACTGAAAACCATGGAGCAGCTAGAGAAGGTCTACATCCCAAGGTAGAACTATACTATCAAGACTATTGAAGGATTGTTCTACGAGAAATCTTTTAAATAAGTGATTCCACTATTGGATTTGGTTAATTTGCTAACCAAATCCAATATGGATTATGCTAGATCCATTTGATTGTTTTTCATATAAAACCAGATAATCCTGGATTGGACAGTGCTTTTTGTAGTGGACAGGATTAGGCTGATTCTGTTGTGTCCCCTGCAGGGTCAGTCAGTACAGGTTCTGTCAGATCATGGCTGAAAACCTGCCTAGACTGAGAGAGGAGATCAAAGAGATCTCCATGTCAGACCTCAAGGACTTCCTGGAGAGCATTCGAAAACACTCAGACAAGGTTGGAGAAACTGCCATGAGACAGGTATAACACTGACTTTTTGATAATTTCACAAATGGTTGTGAAAAAAGTTATTTATCTTAACATGCGTGTGTGTGTGTGTGTGTTTGTGTCTCCAGGCACAGCAGCACAGGACCTTTAACAGTGCAGTAGCAAAGCAGGCCAGCATGGGCCACTACACCAAGCCTGTGTACTCCCTCAATGGACGAACACACACTCACACTCCAAACGGCCTGTTAATGGACGATGACACAGGAGACGAGGAAGAAGCTGATGAAGAGGTGAGGAAATGTGTATCTTTGAGTATGACTGGAAGTGATCATAACAAAATGACTGCATTCATCTTTCTTTTTTCTTTTTTTTTCTTTTTTAAACTGAGTTTTTGTGCAGGTTGTATAATTGTGTAAGCACTGTAAATATTTGCTGTGAATGGGGGTCGTCATTTTCACAGTTATCTGCTTGTCTTCAGTAGTTAATATCAGAAGGAACAGCACTAATAAATAAATGTAAAGACATGTGGTCAGTATTTGACAGTAATCACATTTCCACATATGTCTGACAGATTCTTACAGCTCAGGACCTGGTGGACTTCTCACCTGTCTACAGATGTCTACACATTTACACTGTGCTGGTAAGTGTCTTTGCCACTCAAGCACTCATTTACAAACAGGATAACGGAAAGTGTCACAGCACATTTCACGACTGTAAATGACAGAACTCATTAAAAGCATGGGAAATTGTATATTGGCATTGTATTTTCTGAATTTCAGCTGATGAACAAATTACTTCGTAATTAAGGTTGAAGTAAGATTTAGCAGAACAGCTACACTGACTCATGCAAGACCTATTTATACTGAATACTGAATTTTTCTGTTTATTAAATTGACCAGCTACTTTCAGCTATTTTGATATTGCAGCACCATAACTCAGAGTAGTTAATATACTGCTCTCAGCTAGTCCAGTGGAGGGCACTGCAAGCCATTTTTCTTCGCACAAAAACTTGTAGAAAAGGAGAAAGGTAGAATTACCCACCATGAGTGTTCTTGAAAAGGTACATTATTGCATTTTCAAGTGTAGGTTAGGGGAACATTTCTCTTTTATTTAAAAAGCAAACATTCTTGCTTGTAACAGCCTTAAGAATCCCTATTAAGTTGAATTCTGCTTCCTCTTTCTGTGTCTGCAGGGTGATCGAGAAACATTTGAGAACTACTACAGGAAACAAAGGAAAAAACAGGCCCGACTTGTACTGCAGCCGCAAGCTAACATGGTGAGCAACACACCTAATTGAATTTACAAGTAAAGAAATTTCAAGAACCAAATTGAACTTAGCCTTTACCATGTATCGATTGTCCTGACTTTAGGTTTCATCTGCTGAGCAAAATGTTTAGACTTTGAGCCATTATGTGAAGAAACAAAATGTGTTTAAAACAAAAATGCTATCGCTGTCACGATGCTATCAGAATTTGGGAAAAAGTCACTTTGTAGTGACATAAAATTTATCGATGTAGTGGCTCTAAGTAACCAGGCAATGATAATATATAGTACGCATACACTCATCAAGCACTTGCTTACACCTGTTCACCTGCTTATTCAAACAAATATCTAATCTTTAAATTTTTATTTTATATATCCTTTTGATGCGCCTGGGGAAATTTTCTTTTTGCATATCCCAGCTTGTTAGGAAGTTGGGGTCAGAGCACAGGGTCAGCCACACTAAAGTGCCCCTGGAGCAGTTAGGGTTGAGGCTCTTGCTCAGGGGCCCAGAAGCTTGACAGTATTGCTTGAACCCCCGACCTTCTGATCAGTAGCCCAAAGCCTTCACACTGAGGCACCACTGCCCCCCATGATCAGCCAATCATTTGGCATAGAGAGGTCAGAGAAGAATGATCAGCCTCGTTGGAGCTGACCAACAGGCTACAGTAATTTAGAGAACAACTCTTAGTCACCGTACTGTGCAAAAGAACATGTCAACATAAAACAGAATCTCTAAGGAATTTTTTCAACGTCTTTTGAAATTCTACACCAAGAATGAGGTTGTTTTGAGAGCAAAGGCCAACCAGTAACAGTATGGTGTTCCTAAAAAAGTGCTTGATGAGTGTAGAATAATATTGAGGAATTTGAATTGAATTTCCCTTCTGGGATAAATAAAGTATTTTTCATTTCAGGAAGGCTAATGAGCACTTTGCTGTGATGATGTCGACCCTCCAGTTAGATGTGTGCTTTACTGGTGGCTTAAGTAAAATGCGCTTATGTGTGTTAATATGTGTTAACGTGTGTATGTTTGTGTGTGTTCAGCACGAGACAGTGGAAGGCTACAGAAAATACTTCAATCAAATTGTAGGGTAAGGTGTTCCACTTGTGACGTCATGTGTCAGATAGTTGTGTTTGTTTCAGTACAAACTTAATTTATGTGTTTTTGTCTGTGTTCCTTTAGGTTCTTTGTTGTGGAAGACCACATCCTCCATGCCACGCGGGGGCTGGTGACCAGAGCTTTCACTGATGAACTGTGGAACATGGCTTTGTCCAAGATCATTGCTGTGCTTCGCACACACTCTGTAGGCTCACACACATGCACATACACATGCATGAACACACGCACACACTGTCAGCAGGGAGTTGACTGTGAATGAGAAGGAGACTGTTGAGAGTTAATAGAGATAACAGGGCCTGCTGTGGATCTATTTACTCTGGAAGAACCTTCATTCACTGGCTGATAGACACACACACATAACACTGTGGAGGTCAGTGCACCCACAAACACACTAATGATGTCAGTCTCAAGAGAAGAGGTCAAAACACACATACGCATGCAGCCAAAGAGGAGGTCATTGGGGCCTTAATGAGAGACAGATTGCAACAATAACAGCAGATTAAGAAGGCATATTCCTGACCGCTGGTCTCCAATCAATTGTAAATGACCCAGAGGATTATGTTAACAGGCTAGAGAATGGGCCCACACAGGGTGGGGTGAGAAGACTAACAAAGGCCCTGGTCTCACCCTCGGCCTACAGCCCCTCTGCTGGGGCACAACACAACCAATTCCACGTTGCATGGGTCCCACATTTGTGTGGTTAGTCAACAAAGAGAAGTGTTATTCCCAAATCTGTTCATCAGGCAGTCTGCTTCAGATTCCTTGTAAAACAGTCCAGAATGCTATATCAAATAATAAATGTAGAAGGCTCTTATGTGCTACTTCTCCCAATATATTAAAGAACAAACGTCTCTGAACATGGCTGTTAACAATTTTGTCTGTCATCATTAAATTAAACGCATATACATGAAGTGGCACTCCCTACATGACTTAATAATCATATCACATATAGCACTGACCAGAATATGGTAGATATAGGCTTATAAAATGATGAGACACAATTCTGCCACTGCAGTGATTTGCTGCTGTTAAGTCCAGTCTCCAGCTGACTGTTAATACGTGTATGTCTGAGTCTGAGTCAACAGAGAGGAAGGCAGCCGCTGCTTTATGTCAGATCTCAGTCTGTGTTCATTTACTTGGTTGATTTACACACTCCTGTGTTTGGCAGGATCCTTGTGTCAGTGTGAAGAACAACTGTGCTGCTTTCATGGTCATAAATCACTCTGCACTCCAGAAAAATGGAGGGACTTTGTTGGTGTTGATTGAGCCCCGGCTAAGGCCCTCCCCCTTTGTCCCTGTTTACTAAGCTTTCTATTGTGACCTTTTATGTTTGCGTTTTACAAGAATGATAAGTCGTAACTATAATTGGGAAGAAGCCTATTTACACAAAAACCGTTAGATCTAAAATGTGCACAGTAGAAACTTCATAGTTACAGCACAATTACTCTATATGGATTAGATGACCATAGATATCCTTTCCCTATGTCCAACTTGTGAGTGTTGTTTGCTGATTATTTTCCATTTTCATTTGCAGTCATACTGTGATGACCCAGACCTGGTCCTGGAGCTGAAGAATCTCATAGTTATCTTCGCTGACACGCTACAGGTTGGTTCATAGTTGTATTTAATTTAACTTAAAAGCCTTTGACTCTGAAGCATGTAGAACAACTATAATCAAAACACAATTGGTTTTCTGTATGTGTTAGACTTAGACTGACTTTCATAATTCCCAGACTGAAATTCAGTTGTTGTTTGTGTTTGTGTGTGTGTACAGGGTTATGGTTTCCCAGTGAACCGGCTCTTTGACCTGCTGTTTGAGGTTCGAGACCAGTACAATGAAACATTGCTGAAGAAATGGGCGCTGGTTTTCAGGTGGGCTTCACTTGGGGGTGTCTGTTAGTAATTGTATTTTTTTAGGTAGGTAATTGTGACATAAATTAATGTTAAAAAAAAAAAAAGCTTTGATGTTGTATTGCTTCACAGGGGTTTGGGGATTTGCAGAGTGGTGTGTTCTTGCATAACCAACCTATTTTAGGGGTTCGTGGAGAAGAGAAATTAGTCCTAAATGACCCAAAGTCACGTGCAGTTGGTCAATAAAATGGTGAAATTATGAAAATGTTTGGGTTTTGCGTTGTGTTGTGGCATTACTCAGTCTTTATACTCCATTTAGTGAATAGGTCACACTCAGATAAAGGCAAATAGAAGAACCAGGAAGAAGTCATTCAATTACCGAAGATCATCAGGACTGTTAGAGCTCTGAGTCTCTCCAGTGCTTTTTTTTGTTTGGTTGCTGTTGAGTTTTTTTTGTTGTTTTTTTTTTTTACATTTCCACATTTGCTTTAAAATATGTTAAAAACATGTTGTTTTGGTACTTCCTAGAGATCATCAGCCAGTAGATTTAGTGTCAGTTTCAATGAGCATTCTAATATTTTTGGGGGTAATTTACAGTACATGCTTCAGATAAATGGTAAAATAGACAGTACTTTTAGACCATGTATGTGAAAGAGAGCAAGATTCTCAAAACTGTAGTACTTGTACCACAAAGTGAAAGTGTATGACAGACACTAAAGCATGTTGTTTTCCACAGGGAGATCTTTGAGTTGGACAACTACAGTCCCATCCCAGTGGACACAGAGGAGGAGTATAAACTGGTTGTTAGCCGTTTTCCCTTCCACGATGCTGAGATAGAGAAGGTAACAAGTTCAAAAGAGAACGATCCTCAGAAGATAACCCATATTCAATGACAAGACTGTTATTTAATACTGTTGTTTTCTGTGTTTTGTGTGTGTGTGTGTGTGTGTGTGTGTGTAAGCAGCAAGACTTTCCGAAGAAGCTGCCAATGTCCCAGTCTGTCCCTCAGATTTACACACAAGTCAAAGAGTTTATTTACGCCAGCCTCAAGTTCTCAGAGTCACTACACCGCAGGTAGGTTACCGAACAGTTACTCTGTGTTCACTCTCAATAGGTCGACATGAACCTTAGAAAATTTCATCGTTTCTACCATTCTAATCATTCTAGTCCTTTGGTCTTCTTGTTTTTCAACTGTGGCAAATCTGGACCCGGAGAACCTAAAGTTTATTTGTGTATCTAGTTCAACAGAGATTGATGACATGTTGCGAAAATCAACCAACTTGCTGCTGACAAGAACTCTTAGCAGCTGCTTGCAAAACCTCATCAAAAAACCTCACATAGGACTGACTGAGGTGGGACAAATCACACACAAACCAGTTTTGCTCACATATCATCCTGACAAAGGAATTTAGTCATTTAGTCTAACTTTCTCTCTGTAGCTGGTTCAGATCATCATTAATACCACCCACTTGGAGCAGGCCTGCAGGTATCTGGAGGAGTTTATTACAAACATCACCAATGTCTCCCCCGAAACAGTTCACACCACAAGGCTCTATGGCTTGTCCACATTCAAGGTAAGACGTAATGTGTGGGTTTTTGTGTTGTTACTGCTACCTATCATTTAAAAAAAACAAAACTAAAAAAAACACTGTAACTTAGTATCTCTGGATATGTTACATTTTCTGGAGTCTCTGGAAACAAACTTTAATGTGTGAAAGAGGCTGATTTTACTCACAACTGTATGTTTCAAGTCATTAGAACATTGTAGAAAGCATTCCATGGCACCAGGATGACCTGTGGGAAGCCTGGTAAATGTTCTCAAGTGATTTCACTCAAGTTGCTAGACACTGCAGCTCCAAGCTACATTAGTTTCTAGTAGAATAACATGCCAAAACCTTTGGCTGAATTGAAAATTGACATGTTGCATTATGAGTAATGTACACTCATCTGCTTTTTGTTTTTTTTATTTTTTTTGTTTTTTATAAAGTTGGTGCTATGACAACAGCTCCAGATACACTTTAAACCAGCTTTGAAGATGTCAAAACTATCCATGTTTGACAAATAGGGCCATGGTCTGCCTGATAAAGGTGGCAATGACATCTCAGTTGTCTGTTCATATATATATAAGCTTTATATCTTCATCTGGATAGGTACAGGTAGAACTATTTTTAAAAAGTCTGTCAAGTCCCATTAAATTATTTTGTCTAAAAAATCTTTTCAGGATGCTCGTCATGCAGCAGAGGGAGAGATTTATACCAAACTGAACCAGAAGATTGATGAATTCATCCAGCTAGCAGACTATGAATGGGGCATGGCTGAGTCAGACGGCCGAGCCTCAGGATACCTCATGGACTTGATTAACTTCCTGCGGTCCACTTTCCAGGTCTTCACACACCTGCCGGTGAGTTTGATCCACCCACTCACCACCCACTGAACCTGCCGCCTCCCTCTGGGAACTGTGAGAAGTTGTGACTTGTGTGTTGGGTGTTTTTTGGTCCATAATAGGGATGTGATACTTGTTTCTCTGTTTTCCTACTGTTTTCTCTAAACCCCTGTTTTCTGCTGTGTTCTATATGTTCATTATATCCCTATTAAAATGCGCGTACTGCCTGATGACTGATTGGTTTACATTGTGAATTTGATGTTGAACTGAGTGCGTGCTGTCTGTGTAGATTCTCAGTCATCCAGGTCATGGTAATCCTAGTAGCTTCAGTAGAAAGCAACTGGACTTCATCCATCCTCTCAGTTTGTGAGAACTGAAAAAAATGTGTTGGATGAGAGGAGAAATGTGTTTAAAGAACCTAGAAGAGAAGTCCAGTTGCTTTCTACCAAAGCTCCTAGGTCGAATGCGTGTTACATCGATCTCTGCACATGCATGGTGATTGTGCTATTACTGACTTGTAAACTGCTTTTGCGCACACTGACATTATTTTCAACTGAACAAGGCACATTTAGTTGTAGCAAAGTGTGAAGGACTTGACTAGTAACTGTGTGTTTTGGCCCGGATAACTGACAGCTACAGCCTGTTAGTGTCATTGTCCAGTTTCAGTGGGCTACTTGCCTGGTCTTCTTTCCATCATCTCTCATCATGTCTTGAATGAGTTGCAGCTTGTTTTGTTTTTCATTTTTCAAGAATGCCTCCTGTCTACCCTTCCACACCCTCTGTAACGAACAGGGCTCTAACTGCTTTGTTTTACTCCTTGATTAATTTGACTTGTGAAGCATGCAAGATATCTCTAGCTGAATTTACCTCCTCCTGTCCATTTATTGTTGCCACGTTTCTTTTCCTGTCCTTTTCCTCTGCCCCTCCCCTTCTTCCATTTTTGGTTGGTTTGGGGTTCTCTGCTCAGAATAACAACAATGACCATGCATCAATGTCGGTGAGTATTCCAGTCCGGATTTTATAACACGATACTGCCTTTCTTCGAGCAGAAGGGAGATGAAAAGCATGCTGAATGTTTGACTGCAGAAGCTCCATTACTGTAGGCCTGTGGTTCTGTTCGTACCTGTTATAACCAGTACTGAGGACATTCACAGACAGTTTCAGATTTTTCACCTGACAAGATAAAAATCATTACATTTCATTGCTTCAGCTGCGTTGTGTGGTAGACTGTACCGACATTTAAAACAAGTGATGACAGAAACGGTTAGTGCCCTGTTATGCCTCAAATAAAATGCTCATTGGGTCATCTAAGACTCTCTATTGACAGAATTAGGGGCTGGTTTTGACAATTTTTCCAACTATTTTCCAACGGCAGTTGTTCAGGTAGAGAAGGTGTGCACATTGCAATTCTTTGCAGGAGATTTCAAGAGATTTTAGCCAGCACTGAAAATCACAAATGCCAAATAATAAGAATTGAAAATTGTAAACATATCTATTTTAACCAGTTTTGTTAACTGGACTTTCATTTGCTCAAGCATAGGAGACATTTTGTTGATTAAATGGTCATGAAATACAGAAAAATGAATAGCTTTCTGTGTAATAAGGTAACACCGACTCATTCCCTTCACTGTATGCAGACCTGTCATGCTTACTATCACGTATTTCCCCTCAAAGGCCCATTCCTAGCCCTGGTTGTCTAAAATGGCAACTCTGCTGATGGAAGACCTTTTTTTCTTTCTTTCTTTCTTTCTTTTCTTTTTTTTAAATCACTATCCTTCAATTTATTTCGAAGTTTAGTCGCCTTTGTGTAAATGTACGTCATGGTGAGCAGGGATTTCTTCTCGTAGACATTCTCAGAGTTCAAAGCATTTTTCTTAGGTCAGTGTTATACTTTGCATGTCCAAGAGTACATGAGGGTCCACAAGAGTACGTGTGTCGTAGAGTTCATGCAAGGCTGTGAGAGTCTGCACATTCCACTCCATGGACATTTGTGTGCAGCCAAAATGTATGTCTGTGTGGACAGAGCGTGTGGGCAGTAGTGTGCACGCTCTTTCAGTCCTGTTCATGTGTGAAATTAGTAGATGCCACTTCAATGAGCATGTATGGAACAAGCCTCCGACCAGACTTCAAGCAGTCAGAAAGTAATAAACTATGCATCCATGGTGGCCGTAGCTGTCTGTGTGCACATCCATAAGGGATTGTTGTGTATCATTTTATGCAGTCAGCAAATTGCCTGTGTGATCTAACAAGTTTCAAGTCAATAGCTATGATGTGACACCAGAGTTAAAGGCTTCCACACCATGTATCATTACGATCAGTGCATTATTAGCACAAAGATGGATGTTGACGGTGGTGTTATGAAGCTGAAGAAAAAGAAAGACTTTTTTTTTTTTTTTTGAGAAGTGAAATACAAGTGAAATACCTTCTTTTATCAAGCCTCTGTGAACTTCTGGGGATCATAACAATTTTAAAAAATTGTAAGGTCTCATTAGCGATTTCTATTTTTTACTTGTATACCTTTCATTACAGGAATCACTGATTGTCTCTTCAGTATTGTTTCAATAGGGGTGGTTCCTTATGTAATTATGCACTTCAATAAGACTACTTGCAGTGTGTTTTATCCTTGACAATAGGGTTACCACATCATCCCTGTGTTTGAGAGATTTTGCATGAGAATCTGTGAGATGGATTATGTTGATCTGCTGTTCTGTTCCTGTTTTCCACAAACACAACTATATTTTACTTATACATTTAAAGTCATGGTTAGCATTTCAAACACTTAAGTCAAGCTTTAATTTTAACACTTTCACTTGTTTAAAAGTGGATAGTTAAAACAAGCCTGTTTACGAAAATCACAACACTTTCGGTGGTGGAAACGCACAAACATTCTGAATTGCTTTTTAAGTTGTAAACATGATCCTGTGGAGGTATGTGAAGTGTTAGATCTGTATTATTACTGGTTGAGCTTATTTTGTTCTAACCTGCATGTGTTGGGCTGTGGTCTTTAGTTTTTGTTTTATGCATGATGTTTTACAAAGCACAGACACAGTTTTATAGCACTATAAAATATCTAATACATTTTAGTAACAGATTTTACAGTTGTCCTTTTTAGCTTCATGGTAATCAGAGCATGTTTTGGCAGATATTCATAGTAAAGTGAGAGTGCATGAGAAAAAATTTCTTTCAACTGAAAACTTCAGTAATCCAAAATTTAAATTTTCTATGTATGTAGAAGTCCATCACATAGTACCTCTGTAAAAGGCTACATCAGTGGGTGTGAACCTTGTCATCTTGTGAAGGATTTTCCCAGAACCAGCCATCCCTAGGGTCAAGTGGGAGCAATACTAAAACAAAGCTTAGCTAACAGTAAACATTTGAATTGCATTGCCTGTTGATCATATCAGACGCATCACCTCTCATTCTCCTAGAGATAAGTGGTTGACATTGCCTAGGACAGAATGTCGTCATAGCATTCATTATACAATTTTATTCCACCAAACACATAATTTGGTAAGGTGAAGACCTTACAAACTTAAAATAAAGAAACATAACAGTTTCAAAGTTTGCTTTGGATTTCCTTTGAGCAAGCACTTAGTGAAAGCTCAGACAGAACCAGACTAAGGGAGGCCTGCCATCTGCCTTGACTGGTTGGGGTAAGGGTGTGGATGAGAGGGGGTGGTTAGGGTAGGGATAACAGTATAGCAGATGAAGAACAGACAAACAGTACATAAGAGAACAAAAAACTCTTTAGGGATCGATGAGGACAGTGACTGCAGATCAGAGATGTAGCTCCAGATCTGGAGACACAATCATGAACTGATGTTTACACACACTTATAAGACCATGTATATCATGACTGTCTTGAGTTTCCAGTGACTCCTATAACTCTGAATATTCTTGGATTCTTTGAAACCCATGCAACTTTGTCACACAAAAAACAATCATGCATTTTGGTTCTTTCACAGATTTTTTTTTATAGGTCTTGAATAATTAAGACAAAATCTGCTGGGTCAAAAAATACACATAGAGCAATTCTAATATTTGGTGAAACGTCCCTTGGCACTTCAACTAGACGGTTTTGGTAGCTGTCTGCAAGCATCTAGTTATATCTTTGACCACTCCTCATGACAAAATTAGTACAGATAAACTAAATTTGTTGGCTTTCTAAAACAGAATTGTTTCTTTATCAGAGTACACAGGTTCTTGATGGGATTTAAGTCAGGGCTCAATTCTAGCCCGATTTAGCCATTTCTTTACGACTTTTGATGTATATTTTTAACGTCATTGTCTTGTTTGAACGCCCAACTGCATCCAAGCCCCAACCTTCTGGCCTTTGAGTTTAGGTTTTCCTGAAGAATGTGGAGGTAATCCTTCTCCTTCATTATTTCATTTAATTTGTGCAAGACACTAGTTCCACTGGCACCAAAACAGTCGCAGAGCATCATACTGCCACCACTGTGCTTGATGTTAGGTTGGGTATTCTCGGAGTTAAGGGCATCACCTTCTCTCCTCCAAATATATTTCTGCTTACAAATCTTTCCCCCAGAAGGCCTTTTCTTTGTCCATGTGATCAGCTTCAAACTTCAGTTGAGCCTTAAGGTTGTGTTTATTAGAGGAAGCACTTCATTTTTGCATGGTTACCTCTCAGCCCATGGGCGATGTAAAACATGCTTGATTATGAACACTGACACTCCAGCACCTTTGAATTCATTGCATACCTAATTTTTGGTGACTCTTAGTTAACTTTTGACCATACTGAAGATTTGTCTCTCAGAAGCAGATGATAGTTTGTGTTTTCTTCTTGATCTTGGCAATGACACAACTGTACCATGCACTTGATGCTTCCAAACAATTGTTTGCACAGTTGATTTGGGGGTCTTGTAGCTGCTTCGAATTGGCTCCACCTGACTTTCCTGACTTGTTCAAATCAATGATTTGTTTTTCGAGATATTTGTTGAGCCCCTAAGACTTTTCTGCTGTAGTGTTTGTGGCTATGTCTGATGTGTGTATCATTGATCAATGGACACTATTTAAATTAACTCAGAGGGATCACCAGCTGTAGTCAATTGTAATCACTGATTAGTAGTTCAGAGATAATGCCGCTACGCTTTCTACATCACCATAGCTGATAATTCAAGTTGCTATATGTATTTGACTCAGCAGATTTTGTCATATTTCCAGAAGACCTATAATATATCTTTGAAAGAACCACAATGCGTGATTGTTTTTTTTGGTGACAAAAGCAAATGGATTTCTATGATTCCATTGTAGATATATATAAATTCAGAGTTTGGGCAGTCAGTGTGTAGTGTCAAGTGTAGGCAAACTTTTGTTCTCGACTATGCAGTCATGGAAAAAATGATTAGACCACCCTTGTTTTCTTCAATTTCTTGTTCATTTTAATGGCTGGTACCGCTAAAGGTATATTACCTGAATAATATAATCAACACGCTAAAAAAAATGCAGCTGATTCCATCATACTTTATGTCCTATTTGACATGCTTAAGCTTAATTATATTCCCATGGTATATAAGAGGCCATTTCATGTCATTAGCAGCACTGCACATGCAAAGGCCTAGAGTGGTTTCCTGCTTACATTCAAGCCGTAGCACAACTCAGAAGTTGTCAGCTCTCACATAATGCCTAAAACAAAAGAACTATTTGAAGCCACAAAGGCAGCCATCTTGGCACTCCTGGAAATTGGCCTGAGTGAGAGACAGGTTGCGAAAAAACAGAAGATCTCCAAGACAGCCATTCATTACACCAAGAAATAACAAGCCCAACATGGCACTACTAAATTGCTAGCTGGTCATGGCAGGAAACGTCTTTCTACCCCACGAGATGAACTCATCCGTTCCTGTGTCAGGAATCGTCATTAGACCTCCAGGGACCTTAAAAATGAGTGAGCAGTGTCGAGAAATGTGACTTGTTTGACAAGGACAATTCGAAACCGACTTCATGAAGCTGGTCTGAAGTCACACAGGGCACAGAAGAAGCTGTTCATCAACAAAAGGCAGAGGAAAGCCCGGTTACTCTTCGCTGGGGATCACAAGGATTGGTCTGTTGATGATTTGGATAAGGTTCTCTTCTGTGATGAATCCAATTTTCAGTTGATGCCCACTTCAGCCAACTTACTAGTTAGGAGGAAGCCTGGAGAAGCCTACAAACCAGACTATGTTGCCCCTGCAGTAAAACATGGGGGTGGATCAGTGACATTCTGGGGTTGTTTCAGTATGGGTGGAACAGGGCAAATGCAATTGTGTGAAGGGTGAATGGACCAGGTCATGTACAGAGATACTCTTGAAAACAGTCTTCTTCCATCAGCTGAAAAACTCTTTCCTGACTCCAATGACTAGATTTTCCAACAAGACAATGCCCCTTGCCACACGGCTAGGTCAGTTAAAGCCTGGATGGAGAACTGGAACATTCCAACCATGCCTTGGCCTGCACAATCACCAGATCTAAATCCAATTGAAAACCTGTGGAAAATCATCAAACACAAAATGGAGAACCACAAGTCCAAAAACAAAGCAAATTTGTTTGAATTTGTGCAACAGGAATGGTCTGCTGTGACAGCAGAACAATGTCAGAAGCTGGTGGAGATCATGCCAAGACGCATGGCTGCGGTCATCAAAAACAATGGTTATGCAATCAAGTACTAACTCCTGTGTGTATCATGTGACTAAAACAGAATTAAAAGAAAACACAGAATGCCTACAAGCACTGTTTTTGGCAGTCCAGTGCAACAGCTATTGATATAAGAACTTAAGTGATTTTGGTTATTATCAAGAAAACCATGGAAAATGGCTAGATATCAGCTCTGAAATCAAACTCTTATGAGCTATTTTTGTTGTTATCATTATGTTTGTCCAAACAAATGTACCTTTAGTTGTACCAGGAATTGAAATGAACAAGAAAATGAAGAAAACAAGGGTGGTCTAAAAAAAAATTTCCATGACTTTATGTATGCAGTGTTGCCTTTCAAATCTTCAGTCTTGTGCTGAGCCTGCTGTGAATAGGTGTCTCAACATGTTTCCACATTGGCTTCCAATGGAATTTGTCTGTGCTTCAACACAGAATCATCTTGTTGGCAATCAACTCCTCATTTTTGCCTGTGAATGTCTCAAAACATCCCAGTCTGATTTTCGCTTTAATAGGAAAAAGCACCAACCACAGCAGTCAGATGCAAGACAAAAACTTGCTTTGTTTTCAATGTTAACATATTTCATCCTGGTCACACCAGAAGGTGGAACCAAATATTTTATCTGAGAAGCCTCAGTAATTTGGCATACTAGCTGTTTATTGAGAATTTGAAGTGAGGCTCACAATAAATTGTCTTTTGTCTCTCTTCATTCCCCTTTTCTGTTTCACTCCTGTATCTTCCAAACCCTTTGTTCTTTGACCATTTACCCTTTTACCCTCTTGCTGACTTTTAACTCTGTTTTATACCTATTTGTTCACCTCATTTTACTCATCTGTCCTTCCTACACACTTTCTTATACCCCAACACTTTCCATGTGTAATCCTTCCATCTTTTTATTAATGTTCACCCCTTATCATGACCTCATCCCACTTCTTTTCCTTTTCTGTCACCCTTGTTTGGTCATCCTTGCCTCCATCGTAATCTTTCCATCATTTCCTCTTCTTTTGTGTCCTCTCTTTACCTCCCTCTTCCCACATGTCTCACTCTGTACAGGGAAAGGTGGCCCAAACAGCTTGCATGTCAGCCTGTAAGCATCTGTCCACATCACTGATGCAGATGCTGCTGGACACAGAACTCAAACAGATCAGCATGGGAGCCATTCAGCAATTCAACTTAGATGTCATTCAGTGTGAATGTAAGTATGAAGAATATAATATTGACATGACATTAGAGGCTAGTTTCTAAATGAATCTATAGCTTATTAAACAGTGTTATCTGCATTAAAATGTACATGATGATGAGGATTTAAATGAACTGTGAATTGAAAAGGCTCTAAATAGATCCTTACACATATTATTTTGAAGGCTGCGTTATTTAGAACTATTTGAGAGGTTGCTTAAAATGTTTAAATCGTAAACTTTTACATGAAGGATTGCTTTTATATCACATAAGAATTAAATGTGTCGAATGCTTTCGGTTTGTAAGAAGTGGAACACTATTTATAACAATCTGCGATACTGACATGCTGTGCTGTGACATGATCTAAATCTTCATGCTCAGGTTTTAATACATAATAGACTATGCATACTCTGCTTGTGTGCATGTCTCTAGGTGCACATGGTCAACCAAAGTTTAACGCAATGATCTAGTATAGTGATTCAGGAAGCCACAACAAGACAATATCATATTACCTTGCAATTCTATTGTTATGTGAAACTGATGGTGTAATTTCGTACAAAGAGTTGAAGGATTTATCTGATCAACAAAGTGCTGGTACCAGATATCCACCTGGCTCTCAATTGTGGGGGCAACAGTTAAATCTGGAGCTTGAATAAGTAAATATTAAAATATGCTCAACCACCTCAATATGGTCCCGTACCAAACTTAGCGTCACCCCCACGTTGCATGCTGTTTACATAAACCAAAGGTAAGAAAATGAAAGCATATGACTAATTACTGGATGTTTTTTTAACTGACAAAACACCTGAATGGTTTGATGAGTAGGAAAAGGGTGTGAATCTGCTACAGCCTTCCGATCACCAGATCTAATCCCAATAGAAGATGGATGGAAAATATGTGGCTGATAGCAGTTGGACAGCAGTCTGCACCACTATCATCAAAACACCAAATGAGGGAATATCTTTTGGAAGAACGGTGTTCTATCCCTCCAGTAGAGTTCCAGAGTCTTGGAGAATCAATGTCACCGAGCATTGATGCTTGATTTTAAAAATATGTTGTTTTAAAGCTTTGTTACACTTGTTTTAATACATGATCACCGTAAAATCACTGGTCTTTTTTTTCTTTTCTTTTTTTGTATAGCTAATCACAATGAAAGTATAAAAAAGTCTGTTTTTTATAATGGTGTGCTTTTGTTGGGACTAGTTGTGTGTACTGTAAGTTTAAATTGACGGCTGTATGGTGTTGTTTTTGTTTCTTCTCAGTGTTTGCCAGCTCAGAGCCAGTACCTGGCTTTCAGGGAGACACACTCCAGCTAGCCTTCATTGACCTAAGACAGGTAAACAGTTTCACTCACAACCATAGAAGAGATACATGTACTTGTCCAGCCCAAGTTAAGGGCAGCTTAATTTCTTTTTTTTTTTTTTTTTTTTTTTTTATTTTTTTTGTTTTTTTTAATCGATATTTGTTCAAAATGTACACAATCACTAACACTATGAGGATGTTTTAAGCAACAAATTCATTTTGGTAGTTTTCATGTATTTTCTCCTTTTTCCACTTTAATTTTCACTTCTTAGCTGTCCAAAAAATCAGCTCTGTATATAGTTTCTATCACTACAATGTTTGTTTTGTTTGTAATGTGGCCTTTTCAACTTTCACCTGTCTTTTGGTTCACCGGCTCAAGAAAATTCCTATTCCTCCTCCACACACAAGCACAAGCCCCTTACCTCCCTGTAACCACCAGTGGTATGTAAAGTGTTGATGGGTGTCATTAACTTGTGTCTGCAGTGACTTGTTAATCTGAGCCTGAGGTGGAGGCTTGGCTCTGCACTCAGTCCAGGTTATAGCAGTCTACTGAGAGTATTTTCTAACCTTCTTTATTAGTTTTAAGTCAAGTAGGGTTAAGAATAGCCATATTAAGGTTTATTAGTGGAATTCTGTAGCAGCCCCAGCTATTCTGTCTCAGAGTCTACAGTGTAATTGATTCCAGTTTATCTAGATCTTTTCAGAAAACTCCCATGAAAACTTCTGTGAAATTACAACCCATTTAAAAAAATCTTAGTGTTTTATCCCCCAGCAGAAATGTCCTAAAGGTGTTTCAGTGCCCTCTCCTTGCTGCAAAGAGTTAATTGTGAAGAAATTCTGAAATTTTTATGATTTACCTGGTCTGGATGTAGTCTAACTTGTGAACGCGTTTTTTTAGCTCATCTGTAATCCCCTAATACTTTCCTAAGATGATTTTTAATTAGCACACTTAAAATGATTTGCCAATGTAGCCTATGAAGTCCATCAGTCACTATACAACAGGTAAGCGGATCACCTCTACCAAAAACCGTAGAGTTTAACATTCTGTGTAGTATGTTAGCTGTTTGGACTGCACTCTACTGGACAGAGACCTCAGATGTTGTACCATGAGTAAGTTACTGTCAGCTGGGATTGTCACATCTGTCCCAGCTGCCCCCTTCTGCTCCTTCAGATGATTAGCAAGCAGCTGAAGCAGCTGCTTCTATGTCTAAAACTCTCACAAGAACTTAGATCACCTTTGGTGGTGGGTGCCATTGGAACTCAGGGATTTCTTACCCATTCTTGGCACAAATGTTCCTATGCCCTGTCCCAGCCACGTGGTTGTTTCTTTCAGTGTCTGCTTTGGCAACTTTACTTAGCCTTCACTTTTGTCTTTGCTAAAGATGCACATTTTTAAATAATTTCCTTAGCCAATAGTCAGCAACCTTAATAATCAGTAACAAGTTCATTAATAATATTATACTAAGCTAGCAGTAATCATATGGTCTGATTCCGGTAAAATGACACACACAGCTCCCACAGCGTATGCCATATAACATAGCCTTCTCATTTGGCTCAAACTATTTATTTTATTTATTTATTTTTTTAAATATATTTTTATGGCTTTTTGCCTTTATTTTAGTGTAGTCGAGATAGACAGGAAAGAGGGGAGAAGAATGGAGAGAGACCTCCAGCAAAGGGTAGTGAGCGGGAGTTGAACCCCTGTAGCCCCTGTTCATGGATCGTCCACTCAACTAGGTGAGCTATAGGGGCGACCCAAGGTCACTTTCTTATGATTTTTGGATGTTTTGGACTTCTGGTAGAACCTTTCATGCATTTCTGTGTCTTGATGTCGGTGACATCTTTCTTCTCCTGTAGACAGCATACTATTTCAGCTGGGTATGAACATTAAGGTGTACTTATTAACGACTTGGATGATAGTCCTACCATTGAGTTGCTATCTCTGCACCTGTCCTACCCTCTGGAGGTATTTGACTGTAGCTGGCCTCCTTGGATCCTCATCATGGCTACCATTGTACCGTGGGATACCCAAGTACTTGCAGCTGTCCTGCTCAGCTCCTGCCGTCCTGATCACCCCCCTCTCTTTGTCACCATGTGGCACACTTATCCGGTCTGAATGAAGTCAGTGTTTTCACTATAGATACAGGTGAGGCGGATCAGTACTTCCATGTCTTGTAAACTGCTGGCTTACAGCATGATGTCATGTCTAAAATCACGTATATAAAATGTAGTTGATAGTCACTCCACTTCTGAATCTGTGTCCGGATTTAATCTTTACAGTGATGTGGCTAAGGGGGTTCAGGCCTATGCAAAACAGCAGCGGGGACACTGCATCACCTTGGTGTATGTGGGGTATCGCTGTAGTTAAATTTTTAATAGCAATGTGACAAACACAAGACTTAGTATGTACATTATCTGCTCAATGCAAACATGGCTTTGGATCAGTAGAGCTAAAGCAGAGCTAATCCTGATTTCTGTATCCGTAAACACACTGTGTGAACCCTGTGAGTGTTACAGTGTACTGCATAAATGTATACTAGTGTTGCTTCTAAAAACTACGGCAATGTTACCAGTTTCTGAGTAGACAAATAGCTAGAGAAACAACTGGTCCTTTTAGACATATAAAGCCTGACACATGGTCTTCCTAAAGTTACATAGAACCACATCCATCATATTTCTAAACACTGGACTAAAGTGTAAATATGATCTACTCTGACCTCGAGTTTACCTTTTCTAAACTCTCGAGCACCAGCCGCTGTTGACAAGCCTATAGTGGCAGAGAGAATAGCCACATCTTCCATTCTAACTCCTCTTTACCGAACAATACAAGTCAATGGCACAATGAAATCTAATGGGAGACAACCAAAGGGAATCTTCACAAGTACATAAAGAGAAGGAAAGCAGAGAGGGATTTCTAGAATTTCAGAGCGCCACCCTGACTTATTGTCTCAATGCAAAGGTGAAACTAGTAAGTTTCACTGCACACCATGAAGTAATGTCATAGAGCTGTTGATTTATGTGACACTATCCTTTTGAGAAAGCACACACATCTCATTTTCTTTTCTTTCTGTTTTGACTCTCCGTAATCGTAAACATTGACCTTAGCCCAGCTCTGGATGTCAACTTGATGCAGCTCCATCACTTAAGCACTGGTGGAGTTTAGATGTGTAGTGGACTTATTTTCAATATGAAGCATCTTCAAGCATGTGTTTAACAGCAACAATGCTTCTCTTTTTGTTTTTTGAAGATGCTTCAACTTTCATGCAAGATGCCTGCTAAGGTCAGCTAACTTATTGGGAATTCCCAGGTTTTATTCTTACCCCCAAATCAAATGACCCATTTACTACCCAATGCTCACGTGCCTCGGGGTGTGAATGGTTGCAGAATTTGGAGGAGAGTGATAACTTAAGGTGTTAATGATAGTGAGGCAGCTCAAGACTCCACCATGAGTACCTGGTCACACCTGTCGTAGACCTCCTCTGTTTAAAAATGCCTGTTCCAGTTTGACATGGATGGCTTCCTCTACTTTTTTCTCAAACCATCTGTCTTCTCTTTTCAGAATGTGAACAGTGTTCTCCTCAAAAGAATGCCCTTCATCCTTTAGATGCAGATGTGTAGATTTCCAGTAAACTTCAGTTTTAAGGCTTCTGTCCACCACAATGTGCATTACATTGAAGTACATTCACATTTCTAGTAGTGGAAGTGGAAAGTAGAGCTCTTTCAAGGGCTCAACATCCAACCACATCTTGATCAAAATCAAAATCCAAAAAGTAGAGGCCTTCACAGAACACATCAACTGAGTGGACAGCAACATTCAGTTCACAGGGGAGGATATCAAAGTAATTAAACTTACTTTATTGAACTAAGCATTCAACAGATCCTGTACCAATCGATCTTTCCACTGTGACAGCTGACTACACATACTCAACCTGTTTCTTTCTATCTGTGATGCCAAAAGCTGAATATTTCCAAGAATTTTTTTACATTTTCACTTTTATGATAACACGACTCAGCTTGTTTAACATAATCCTGTAGGCTTACACTGACTATTGTTTTCACTGCATTTGGGGTCATCTGTCAGATATATGGGACAGAGTGGCCAAAGTAGACGAGGACCCACTTTCTGGGACTGAATTTCGAAAAATGGTTCTTATTTTAAAAGTCTCAATTTTCTGAGTAAAAATTTGTAAGGATTTTGCTTTTTGTTCAATGTATTAAATCTTGAAAGTAAACCAAATGTACTTCATCTACATTGTATTTCATTTGTCAGTGTACCAATGTGGTGTTGACAGTGTGGTAGACCAGATCTACAAGTGTGGCTATGATTTCCACTTTCAAGGCACAAGTGATTCCCCTAAATAGAAGTACTGTGTGGAACAAATGTGAAATATTTATTTTATCTCCATGTTTGATAGTTTGAACTTCAAATATAAAGTGACAGCTCTGTTTTCATACAGGCTGTCTTAGGTAGGGTACATTGTGTAACTGTATTTTGCAGGATAACATGCGTGTTCAGTATTTGGTATGAACAGAGACTCAATAATGTGCAATTTATTTTATTACAGCTAAACAGCCTGTCATAGGTGATTCACTGCACACTTGTAGCAGTGAAACAGGCAAAATACAAGCATCTTTGAAAAACATACTCACTACTGTGAAAACACATAAATCACATCTTGAAAGTTCATTACAATATGGTTGTAAATTAAATTAATTAATAATAATAATAAAAAACCCTGACTTTTGTTTTTGTTGGTTTGGCTGTTGGTTTTACCAGTTATGGTCACTTATGGTGACGCAGTCGGACGATTAAACAGATGGTTAGCAAGCCAGACTATGTAAACCACTTAATTTGTAGGTATTATAACTGATACAACTAACGGCCAAACAGATGAAAATATTATCAAAATTGCAATGAACTGGAGCTTCCTTGGGTTTTTTTCCCCCAAGAATCGTTGTATCCAGTCAGTTAAATCCTGCAATCCCTTTGGTTGTTGTGAACTTTGAAGGGTATAGAGTGACACACTAAGATGTGGTACCCTCTGCTAGTGGTTCGTCGCTCATCACTTAGCTCCAGGTGAGAATAATGGTATTGTTGCTAAGCCTCTCTCTGTGTGTCGGAGTCTCTCAGTCAGCTGAATAATGCTATTATCTCTAAGCTGTTCTTTCACTGCTCTTTCAGCATGACCCAAACACCCAGCTGTTTCACCCTATGACATTAGCATACACTATGTGTGTGGGTGGGGTAGGGGGGTCATCTCCATCAGGTTAAGCAGAGGTCATGGGAGGGTCATTTTAGATGTTCCTGTTCACACTTAACACTTATCGTGCAGCAACAGAACCCCTCCTTCCTCCCTTCATCTCTCTGCAGCTCTCGCTACTCTTTGTTCTCTTCATCTAAGAGTGATGCACTGACCCAGGAGACAAAAGTGTTTACCATCATCACATTATCTGACACTGCTTCTGGCCAAGAGCTCATATCACAAAGCAAGTTCAACTTAGTGTGGCTGTCTCGGGATTACTTGGTGCATTGGATAACCTGTCTCAACAAGCTTGTTACAAACAAGTTCTGTTAATGTTGACTTTTTCTCCTGCAACGAACACCTTCATGTAAAAAGGGTGCAGTTGTAAATCACTAGCAACATCATCAGAAACAAGAATTAAATACTTGAAATGAGATGAAACAGTGATAGCAGCGTGACACATGCTAAAGACTCAGACAGCAAAGAGATTGCCACTGTTTCTTAGTTTATAGTAGGCTGTAGGAATGATGAGTTTTTCCAGTGATTTGACTGCCTAGTGGTATTGCCTTTGGCAGGTTTTGGCTTGATCCTCCTTTATCTGATCTGAAGCAGTTTAGCTTTGCTGCAAAGGTTACCATTGTAGTCTATCCCAGTTAAAAGGAAGCCAGCTTTGCTAGGTATATGAAGCACTGTTTCAGGGTTATTGTAACCTTGCAAAAAACAGGACGTAGACATAGCTTGCATTTGTCTTAGGCCGCAAGTTCTGCTGCTGTCAATCTAAGATACAAGGTGTGTTCCAACTTTCCATGCAATGACAAATAAGTTCTATAGCATTAAACAGCTTCCCCCAAACAGTTATACCGAAGAGATGTCTGCAGTTTCCAGGGAACATTTTAAATGGCCGAAAAGTTGACAACTCTGTGTAGCAACTAACAATGGTCCAGTACAAGTGTGTGACTTGATATTGATGTACGTGAAGCTAAGGCTCTACAACAAGCACTAAAAAGCAGGTTGCGATCTATGACAGCAGACATGGGTTGACTGTGTATTTGTAGAACAATTCGCCTCTCAAACCATAAAATGTCCCAAAGATGTTAAATTTATGAAAGTCATGTAATAATAGTTTCGTTAGTTAATGTTGACAAAAATACAGCATAACATTATTGATTGTTATCTGATGAATACTGTATGAAACACAGGTAGATGTCTGTACATTCTGCCCAGAAATGATTGTTAAAAAGAGAAATGCTCCTCTGTATTGTTTTAAAGTTCAACAATTCAGTTCGTGGATATGTCGAAGTGAAAATTCTTTTCCCCCCTCCATCTTTATCTGTATTACTGAGATTCTTTTCAGAAGTTTTCTAAGGTTCTGTTGTTCACAACGGTGTAAATTTATGTGTTTTGTAGCTCCTGGACCTGTTCATGGTGTGGGACTGGTCAACTTACCTGGCAGACTACGGTCAGCCAACCTCCAAATACCTGAGGGTGAACCCAGCCACTGCCCTGGCTCTCCTGGAGAAGTAAGTGCATCTGACACTCGCACATTACTGGAATTGTTGTTATTTCACCATCACTTTTGAAAGAACAAGTGGGATTGGCAGTTCACATTTAAGCAGGGATGAGGTGTGTGCAGATACACAGTCTGTGAAGAGACACCGTGAAAAATACAATGTCTGTTGAGCATACAGTGGCATGCAAAGTTTGGGTATATACCAAGCTTTTGGTAAATGTCAACTGAGAGCTCAAATCACTTTGGGTGCCTGAACATTTGCACCTATGTGGAATGTATTAAAAGAATTAGCGCTCGTGTTTTCTACTGCAACAAGACCAGAAGTAGCTTCCTGTGGGTTTAGACAATTACTAAAATGATTTCACAAAGTCTAAAATTTTGTCTTTTGTTTCAAAATGTTTGAAAAAGCTGTACATCTAAATGTGTAAAGCAAGACTGTGATATTGTGATACAGGAGACTTTTAAAATCTTTTCAGCGGAGTTTCAGTTACAGTAGCATCGTCTAGTAATGGACAAGTGAATTTTCTATCAAAAAAAATGCACACAGATTATGTTTTCATTCTGATGCGTTCCTTTGTACACCATTTACTTGGCTCCAGGTCACACGCTGCCTGAAAGTACTGAAAATTGTGATATAACAATAATTAATTCAATCATACTTTGGTCAGTGTGATTGGGAAATGGGCATTCAATTGCATTTTATGTGAAATCAAAGCTTTATAAGGTTTTATATAAAAGCAAAGAACATTTCGGTGTCTCTCACCACAGGCATTTTTATGATTTTAGCATACTAGTACATTAATTACATATTCTACTGTCATGAAGTTTTCATTAAAAATCTTTTCTCACTATGATAGCACTTTCGTCCAGTAATTCCTTTATAGACTTCATTTCCTAAAATAATAGCTGTTAGTCACTTAAAAGACAGCTCTCCAGTAATGGCCAAAGCCGTGGTGGACATGTATAAATGAAATACTGGCCAGGGATTAAACTCCTGATGTCCATCATATCGTACACATGCCAGTTAAACATTTCTGCCACTTACATTTAAAAAATTTAGCAATGGTTGCTTTCGATTCAGTCATTTTAATCCCCAAATCCCCAAATATGACCAGATATATACTAAACAGAGGGGCTTAGAAATGAAGCCCTGCTCCTACTACAAGCCTGCTTCAGATGAAGTACTTTTGCTTTCTGTAGTTGAGGTAAATATTTGAGGAAAATACCCATGAAATGCATAGATATGAAGGTGGATGCCTTGTTTCCCTGCTTCCCCTGTGTGTTGGTTCCATTGTTGCTCTTCTGTTTGTCTAATTCTTCTCCTGTCTGCTGTTTTTCTGCCGCTGCTAACTGCTCCTGCTCAGAGTCTACAGGGGGTAGGTGCAGCATTCTCACTGCTGTTCTTTCTTCTTCTACATGCATGTTCTTGATATGTCCAGAATTATACTGGAGATGTGCTTTTTTTTCTCCTCTGTATTGTAGAGTTTGACTTCTCTGTAGCCTGACATAAGTAGAGACTTAATGAATCCAGCATGCTCTGTGTGACCACAGGCCCACCGACCCCTGTGGTTGTGTGTACACTCACTGCAACAATTAATGTGCATATATATTTCCACAGGCTGCACTCTCATCCATGCAAGATTTGTCATTAATCTTTGTCAGTGTAGGGGTCTCTGCGGACCAGTCTTCTGCTGGTTCTTTGTTATACTTGTGGAGTGGCTATATGTTGCAGCTCATGTGCTCTACTTGCTGTTATGGTTTTCTGTTTTTCATAAATATAGGATATAGGTGTAGGAAGGGAAATTTTCTCAGACCAAAAAGCCAATCAACAACATGGACTGTAGTTAAAGCAGAGTTGTAATCGTACTGTAAACATTTTCTGAACTCACTACAAGGAGCATCATTCGTAGGGTTTGTATTCACTCTAAGTTATTTTAAAATAAACTAAAAGCTGTAAGGAGGAAATCATGTTGAATTTCAGGTAACTCACTAATTGGACAGTTTTGGTGATGTCATTTTAAGTAAGATACATGTGTATTGATCCTCTTTTTTCTAAAAAGTCCAAAAAATATTTGCATAAAAACTGAGTGATCAACTGACTTTTATTAAGTAACTGCTAAAATACGAAGAGTAAGACAGTGAGTGCACCTTGTTTTAACTCGTTTTCACTTTCAGATATACCACAGAACATCCCAGTACATATATGATGATGCACATGTTTCTTTTATTTTAAAATGATCTTCAGTCATCAAATTCTACTTTTGGTATTTTGTTTTTATACCACCTATGAACTGAACCACAATCTGCTTGGGAAACCAGCTGTTTAGTTTGCACCAGAGTTGGATTGGCAGCTATCACAAAAACCCAAATGACCCAAACTAGAAGTGTAAACATGCCATAGTCCGTTTTAACTAAAGCAGAATAGGTGTGAAAACATCCTTAATGTGTCCATAGCTACCCCTCTGCAGAAGAAGGGCCCTCCATTCCCACTAATAGATACAGTGGTACTTCATCCTCCTGAACTCAAATATTTGACTGACTCTTTGCCTCTGTCTCTCTTTCCAGGATGAAGGACACCAGTAAGAAGAACAACATCTTCTCTCAGTTCAGGAAGAACGACAGAGACAAACAGAAGCTGATAGAGACTGTGGTCAAACAGCTGAGGAGCCTGGTCAACGGCATGTCCTCCTAAACATACACACACACACAAACAGACAGGAGCGATGTATGTGTCATAAAGAGGTATATTGAGTGAAACATGCATGCAGTCACATGCACACACTGAACTGCCAAGAAGCTCACAGAGGAAGGACATTTGACACTTGTAAAGAAGTTGCAGCACACAACATGGCAGTGACATACAGAAGAACCATAAAGGGAGTTCTCTCTCACAGACAGACACACACACAAAAGGGCCAGATAGTCAGCTTACATGTGCATACTAGTTAAACACACGTCACTGGACGGCACAGCAATACACACACTTTTCAAGGCATGCAGGGATCTGACTCCTAGCAATTTCAACGAACACACACACACACACACACACACACACACACACACAAAGTCATATCCTCTCGTTACCATTATATCTGACTGAATATTCAATGTAAATAACAAACATGCTAAACAGTTTACCAAGCTCCTCACAGGAATAAACAATAAAATGTTTGTAAAGTATTTTTAATGGCTATGATAAGACAAACTATGTTTTGTACATTTGTGAGAGTGCAATGATTGTAGCTGCAGAGGGAGACTGGTACAGCACAGGAAGTGACAGACGAGTATTGGGACAATGAAATCAAATGTCAACACTTACTGCACCACAAGTGTATGGGTTGAACCCTTTCCTAATGTCCGATCCGAAAGATTTAAAGGATCAACAATAGTGGATGATACTGGAATATATTTTCTTGCCCTTCATTCTGAAGAATACCATTGTTCTTCAGCGGAGATTGAGTTATTTATAACCCACTGATCAAGCCATTCAGTAATAAAATAACTATTTCTAGTTGTTTCAGACAAATGCCTTGTGGATTTATTAAAACTATGACAGTTTAAAGGGTATAGGCTATATGTTAAGAATAGCATACCAACATCTGTGACCAGGCCAGACTAATAGCTCTTACAGCTTAACAGAGCCAACAGTTCCTCTGACTGTGGGGTTTCAGGGATCAGGTGTTTCTTTAAATTTGTCACTCTCTGTATATATAGTGTAAAAAGTGGCCAGGAATATCTCTTATAACTCCTCGCATTTAAACAAAATTTGTCTTTTTTATTGCATAAAAGAAATCTGACTGTTGTAACCAAGTTTCTGACATCCTAATGGAGGGCCATAAACTATAATATCAAAATGCTGTCTCTTAAACATGACGTAAGGCTTTCCATTTACTACCTGGTCATACCTGAACTTAGAATTGTGGCATTTTAGAGTGAAATCAGTGGATTGAAGTAGAAATACTATTTGCCTTGGTTATGCAAATAAGTATGCACTGAGCTTTAAAATCTTGTTACAACTTGTTGAAATTTGGCATGCAAATGCGTATTATTCACCAAATGCAAATGTTCTTTACACTGCTTTACACAGCTGCGACCCTCTCATAACATAAACTCCTCCAATGAACACATTTGGCATGGTTTTGTCAGTCATTAGACACAAGTGGGTGCTATAGACACATCCCTTGTATCAACTGTTTTTGACTTGGTATTGACCTATATCGGCCAATCAGCTTGACGCTGAGGCTTGTTGGCTCCTTTATAACCCATAGCTATCCATTATGCCCTTCCACATTTACATTAATCTTCAGGGAATTATAACTCCAGTCTAAATAATTACATCACCAGACTTCTGGCACCACAAGGGTATTGATTTATCGTGTCCGACTTTCAGGTGTGATGAGGCATTTGATGCGGTTTGTCCAGAATCAATATTAACTCTGTAAACCCTCTTCAGATAGTTACTCTTGCATGAAACCATCTCACTGTTTGTACATCACCCATCTGGGTATGGAACTGCATCCAGTGATAGTTCTGACAAAGGCCAAATTGAATCATTGTCCCAATACTTCAACTGCTGTTACTGTGTAAGTTTGTGTGCAAAAAAAGTGATCCTGAGTATATGGATGGATGGAAGAACAGGTGAATGAATGATGACGTCCTCAAAGACTGATGTTCATGAAAAAAGTGACATTTTGTTAAACTCCTTGGTGGTTTTGCTTGCTTTTGTTTTTGTTTGTTTTGTTTTGTTTTGTTTTTCTGCCTCACATTTAAGCCAACCCGCTTAGACAGTCTCGCAGTGACTGAACTTGGAGGAGCTCAACATAGCAACATGATGAAACTTGTTTGGTTTGAAGAAAGCAGAAATGGTGGGAGTCCTTAACACCCAGATTGTAGTTGGAATCTTCACATGTTGCCTGCATATGAGAATGTAAAAAAATGTGGGTGAAAATCTGGAAAGTGGTTTGTTAATTATTGGATCCACCTTGTGGACAACATAACATAACACTTTATACCAAATAATGCAGTCCTTTACAACAACACACAGAGTAATGCAGATGCAAGTCAGGTCATTGCAGCGTGTTGTGTTGTACTGGACTGGATTAGATTGTGCAGGTGGGCACATCGGGATTTGTTCAGCAAAGACTCCAAGGGGCTGATGACAATTTTGGATTGGAGTGTCAAAGTGACTACTGCATGAAGCAACCTTATAATAGGGTTTGTATGTGACGTCCCCACATTTTAAAATTCATCACAGTCACAGGAAACTGGTGCCTGGCATTAATGTGATCTGTATATGTTTCTTGTAAATACAAGCAGAACACATTGATCATAATGTAACTGGATCAGCTGGACAACCTCTGGAGGTGTATTTTGATCACATCTCCGCCAAGTCTAGAAGAGATTTGTACAGCCTGGAAACACTTTTGTAAACCAAATCCATCTAACAAGTTAAAAGGGAAAAGGGGACCGATGAGTCCTTCCTCTGCAAAGGAAGAATAATAACATACATGCAGCAGCATCACTTCAGGAGACAGGAGTAGCTGTCTGTCATTTACCATCTGCAGTCAGTCAGTGTGCACGTGGTTATCTATTACTGCATTCAGGGACTGTACTGGCAGGCATGTTTCCCATATGCAGTGTGGACTGTATGACTTGTCCTACAAGCATAAATTTTAGAGTTGATGACAAGATATACGCAATTTTGAAAATTGCAGGAAACGATTTAAGCACAGTTGCACTTCAGGAAGGCACAGTGCAGTGCTTATGGCTGTCATGTGACCTTAACCTTGCACATCATTGCAGCCTGTTAGTAGACTCCTGCATTGCATATTGAGCTCTTATAGTTAGTTGTTGTTGTTTTTTTTGTTGCTTTTTTTTCTCCAATCATAATATTAAAAAGAATGCAGAAAACGAAAGTCTGATTTTTCAAAAGTTGATAAATGTGGTAATATTTATAAAATCACAAGAGACATGCAGACAGAACCAAAAATATTTAAAATAATAATAAAAATAATTTCTATCTTTAGGAGCCAAGTGTCCAATTAACATTCATGTATCATCTGTGCAAAACAGAATCCACAATTTTATTGAGAATGTATATTTAAAAAAAACAACTAGGTGAACATTTTGAAGATCTTGTTAGTGTGATCGGAATCAACATGACAACACTTATTAAAACCAGGTGTAAATGCACAGGCCTATGATCAGACACTATTTTCTGCACCACATGTTAGTAACAGGTGGATAAGGGGTAAATATATAGAGGCACATATAAGCATCCACATAGAGGTGATTGTCAAATCTGATAACTGTTAATTGTGAAAGATATTAGTTTGTTTCCGTCAAAGTGTCACGACTGTGCTCTCTAATAGCAGCCACAGCAGCGATGGACCTATCAGAGGTGAAGAGGGTGTTTAGGTGGTTTCATGTGAAAGGTGACACCACCACATGCCCTAGGCCCCCCTCAGTAAATCCTGTCAGCTGTAATGTTCAAAATACTTGATTCGTGCTTACAAGAAAACAAACCCCACGAGGAGCTTGTAATGTAATGTTGTTAGGGAATATGTATACATATATATTTAACAGCTCAATAACTTGCATTTTATTTGTTTTTCTTTTTTGTTCCTCAGGGTGAAATGAAGCTTTAGAATCACATAACTTACAAAGCACAGCAATAATGAATTGGTTCCTTTACAGCCTCTCTGGCAGGTTGACACTTATTTCAGTCCTGCACATGATTCCTGATGACAAACATTTTATACTGAGACTGTTTCTATTCTGTTTATGTTTTGGGTCTGTGCTCTCCTTTCAGCAGGCGTTATGCACTGAAAATGATGAAGTTTTTTCCTTTTAGAATAATTATTTGCCTTTATAATAGTTGCCTGTAAATGCCACTGTATATACTGCATTTTTGTAAAGGAAATAATACAGCAGTTTGTCTGCTACAAACAGAACTGGAGGTTGACACTGTGATGTGCTTCTCCATCAACAACTAAAGTAAATATGTAATAATAAGAGTTTCGATTTGCATTTGTTGCTTGCTTGGTGAACACAGTTGAGCACGATATAAAGAGCTCAGTGATTTACGTTGGTACCTTCTCTCCTTTCATTTGCATGGCAACATTTTTAAAACGTTATATTGTGTTCTAGCATAGACCTTGTGTAACATTCTGTTGAAGTCGCCCTAAGTGGAGAAAGGCCTTTCCACTTTTGCTTTTTGTTTTTTTAATTATCAAGTTACCAAGACGGCCAGTAAATACAGAGGAATTGTGACATTTATACAAACAGGAAAGTAAAACAACAACGCACTAGAAAACAGGTGCACTTTCTATAAAATACAGTCCAGCCCTGTCTCCAAAAACGACATATTGTGTACACTTCACAGTAGTTGGGGCGAGTCAGGCACTGCTAAGATGGCGATCGTTGATGTCGCCACGCTGAGCTCCTTTACGAAACCAATGGGTGATGGCACAGAGGATTCGTTATTGTCCATGGTTTTTCTCTTTTCCATTTTTCCCCTTGTTTAATTATGGTACGCCTACTGATGACGCCGTCACCGTTGATGCTTCAGGTCCTGCTTTTTTCCCCCAATTTGGAACCAATTGTTTGGCCTTGCAGATCTTTTTAACTGGCCACAATGATATATGTGATGAGTTTGTTTTCACATTCACCTGCTAGAGCTTAACCAACCTTGACCCTGGCCCCTCCTCAGTGAGACAACTGAGTAACTTTTAGACAATACAATTACTTTTTACAACTGAAGTTTATCAAAACTACACCTCTACTCAAATATATTGTATTGCAAGCTCAGATGTTTTGTCATAGAATGAATATGTTAGATTTAGTATCAGCATTTGTCTACATGCCAGATACAGTTCCTCATTATGTTAATACAAAATAATTCAGTCTGCAGTATATTTCCTGTATATAACATGTCCTTGGTATAAATTTAATTTCTGGGAGACAGGGTTGTAAAAACTAGCAAATATGAAATAAAGTTGTTAGTCTGCACTTGAGGTAAATGTTGACCAATTGAATATATGTTAATCATAATGGGTCACATAATCTGAAGCAACGGAAATTAATTATTTATGAATGAAGGAGATTTGGATCTACAGTGGTGAAAATAAATTCATATACACTTTTCTTGATCTTCCAATGACTCCTATAACACCTAATTTTCTATGATGGTGTCATTGAACGACACTGGTCTGTCACAAAATCAAAACAAAAAACAAACAATTGTGCATTTTGGTTCTTTCAAATTTGTTTTATGGGTCTTCTGGAAATATGACTAAATCTGCTGGGTTAAAAATATACATACAGCTATGCTATTATTTATTTAAATGTCCCTTGGCCATTTTCACCTCGATTAGGTGAAGCCTTAATTCTCGCCTGTTTCAGCTATTTGTCACCACTTGTGATGTGTGTTTGGGGTCATTGTCTTGTTGAAACACTCAATGGTGTCCAAGACCCAACCTTCTACAGAATGTCAACGTAATCCTTCTTCATTATTCTATTCAGTTTGTGTAAAGCACCAGTTACACTGACAGCGTAGCACCCCGAGAGTATAATACTACCACCACCATGCTTATGGTAGGTTTGGTGTTCTAGGGATTAAAGCCTTCACCTTCTCTAATCCAAACATTTTTTCTGGTCATTGTGGCCATATAGTTCTCTTATGTTTCATCTGACCACAGAACTTTCCTCCAAAAGGCCGTTTCTTTGTCCATGTTATCAGCTGCAAACTTCAGTCGAGCCTTCAGGTGCCACATCTAGTGAAAGAGCTTCCTTCTTGCATGGCAGCCTCTCAGCCCATTGCAATGTAAAACACACTTGACTTTGGACACTGACACCTGTGTTCCAACAGCTTCTTATTCATTGCAGAAATGCTTTTTGGTGATTCTTGAAGGACTCTTCACCATCCTGACCAATTCTCTCTCAGCAGCAGGTGATATTTTGTGTTTTCTGTCTGATCGTGGCAGTGATACAACTGTACCAGGCATGTGATACTTAGAATCGTTTGCATAAATGCTTTTGGAATCTGTAGCTGCTTTGAAATGGCTCTAAGTGACTTTTCTGACGTGCTAAAATCAATGATTTGCTTTTCTGAATCTTTGCAGAGCTCCTCAGACTTTCCCATTGTAGAATTTATAATGAATCTAGTGAGTGTATCAGATGGGCCATATTTCAATAAGCTCAGTGAAGTCAGCAGCTGTAGTCAACGTCGTCACTCACAAGAATTTGAGAGGTCATGCCACTAAGAAAATCAGATTACCACAGCTATCTACATAATTCATAATTTAAGTTGGTGTATGTATATTTTTGACCCAGGAGATTTAGCCATTTTCTAGAAGACCTGTAATAAATCTCTGAAAAAATGAAATGCATGATGGATTTTTGTGATGAAGACATGCGGTTCAATATTTACATCATTGAAAATTCTGAGTTCTAGAAGTCATTGGAAACTCAAGACTGCCCTGATACATGGTCTTTACATGTGTGTTTTGTTCACAACTGTACATCTAACATCTTTAAAATAAAAAACAAAGAAAAAAACAATGTAGTCTTCTTGCCTTCCACAGGAGTGGAGAGAGGGTACATTTCCACATCCAAAGGAATCTTTGCTTTGTCTTTGTTCCCTGACTAAGAAGCTGTCTCCCAAAATGGTCTTTGTGTGTGTGCGTGCGAGTGTGTGCGTGTGTGTGTGTGTGTGTTATAATAAAAGTTTTATTCAACAGCTGCTGTTGTTCAGCATACTGTTTGGTGCAGAACGACTGTGTGGACAGCATGTAGATAAAACTGTGGTAAGTCTGTTTATGTGTCTCTACAACAAGATATGAGCACCTGCACAACTCCTGTCCATGTTGCTGTTGCTTCTCAGACTTCTGAGGATTCCTTAAATATTTGGTTCACTCATTACATTCTCTGTAGCACAACTATCAATCAGCTGCATGTCGAGGTATCTCAAAGCAAATTTCCAAATGCAATTTGCTGTTGACATTCAAAAATAACCCCAGTTTCTTCCACCTTACTAAGTCTTGTTCAGTGGTTCTAGCCTTCTCTTCTATGACAGTACAGAAGTAACAGTGCAAAAATAATCAGGATTTGCAGGATATGTTGGTTTCGGGTAATAACAAAAGATACTGGTAATGGTGTGTTTTTGTTTTGTTTTTTAATGATTCCTGTATTTCACGGAAACATTTCTAATAATTTTCCAACAACTAGCTCTATTAACTGCAGCTTGTACTCCTTAACACATACACCTGAAGGCACGTTATAGTGAACCTCTTCCAGCTCTGGTTCATAGTGTTTTCACTGATCACTGAATGAGCTATGGGGCTAACAGACAACAACTGTCCCACTGCCAGTTGCAGTTGGCCTGATGTTCGCCACATAACTGTACAAAAGCTGTAGACCAAGGCTGACAAAAATTCTTGTGCGCTTGACCCGTAGCAACTCTAAGAATGTTCCAGGTAATTCAGGACAAATCTACAGGCTGCTCGTCTCTCACGCTGGAGGATGAACACTTTGGACACTTGACAGCCTTTCTCTATGGCTACCCGTAGGACAAGTAGTTCTATTTAAAACTTGAGTAGAAGTGACTCGAGGCCAGTGGGATGGAGCCAAGACCCAACCTCAGAGACAGATGTGCGAGAACATGGTCAAATATAACCAAAGCTAGAGGTAACAGATAGATTTTTAGTTCTGTATACTTGGACAGTATTTGGTGATACAGTAGCTTTTTCAGCTTTGTGAGTCACAAAGATGGTAACTCATCTTTAGCTACCAGCAGTACCAGTGTAGATATGGGTGTGCTCCCCCTCCCTCTTCCTCTCTCTGTCACCAAAACAGGAGTGTCACTTGTTGTGGGAAGGTTTTCTGTCTTCTTGTATCTCACCCTTGGACCCTCGTTGTGTCCCACCACTCACACACTAACTGGGAAATAGTAAGTGAACTTTGGCCTGGGTCAGCATCTGAATGCGAGGATCCCTGTCGCCGCGGATGCAATGAGGCGAGAGACATTTGGAGAGCTCTATTATCACTGGACAGCAGCTTGCCAACACACACACACACAGAAATTGTTTGCTTTCTTCAGGGGGTTACTGTGCACGCTTAGTTCTACTTTCTTGTAGCATACCTTCCTCTACATGCACATCGTCCATCTACATTTAGAAAGTGAGGATGGATTTATCTCAGCACATACCTGCTTTGTTCAGACAAGACCAGTATTTATCATGTGTCTCAGGGTAAATAAATGGGAAAATTAGTCCGAACTGGCCAGTGTAAGGTTGGCTAATATCTGGCAGTGCAGCTGAGAAGCTGACAGGAGAAACTTGTAAAGGTCAAGCAGAGACATTTTGTTGTTTGTGAGATGTTCACCAGTAGCAGCTGGGTCAGTCCATGTCAATTCAGACAGAATTCACCAAACATGTTGCGCCATTGTCTCAGATTTAGTTCAGAGTTTATGACTTTGTTATTTAAGAATCAAATTTAAGTTCTGTGAAATATTTTGGCTGAATTTAAAGAATATCATGTTTTCAGACCTGAAGTGTTTTTGTGTTGTCACTCTAAAAAATAGGTCTTACCTGGGAAGCAATGTTAAGAGTTCTATATGTCATATGTGCAAAGGTACAAATTGCTTCCAAGATGTCTTCATGTTGAACTTTAACAACATATGAGGTTAATGTTGTTATACCAAGTACTAACATATACTTAAACACTGAACAGAGATAACGTGATAACTCGACACACACCACAGTAGATCTTACATTTTTTGAAACTCATAACACAAGTGCTGCAGCAACAAGACAACAGGGTGATAATTCTATACTAAAAGCAAGAAAAGAAAGCACACAAACATCACTACACTGTTCCTGTTTTAGGTCAGCTAGGATTACCAAAATTTGCTAAACATCAGAATTGAGAATTTTTTATTACTTTCTTCAAAGTCAGATGTTTACATACACTAAGATTACTATCCCTTTACACTGTTTGGGGAAGCCCAGATTATGATGTCATGGCTTTGGAAGCTTTTGATAGGTTAATTGATAATATTTGACCCATCTGCACAAAATCAGTAGCA